AGGAGGAGTGCCCTAGGTGTGTGTGTGTGTGTGTGTGTGTGTATGTGTGTGTGTGTGTGTGTGTGTGTGTCTGTGTGTGTAGAAGAGGCATCAGTGTTTGTAGCATTTTGGAGACCAGTGTTCTTGCTCTCTATAAAGGGCTAACTAGAAAACCGCTTAGCAGATTCGTGATTTTTTAAAAATTTTATTTAATTGTGGTAAAACGTGAGAGGTACCCTCCTAAGAAACTCTTCCATGTATAAAACAGTACTGTTAGCGACAGGTACAGTCGCGCAGCAGATCTCTAGAATGCCTTAACCTGGCAGACACCCGACCTTGCTAGAACCTGCCAGCTGAAGTCTTTCCTCCCCCGGGCTATTTCTTTGCTGCACCTGTTTAACCTCTTGGTTAAGTTTGCGTAACTGGGTTTTCCACGGTGGTTTTGCCAGCACCCATGGAGGGATCCATCATAAATATCTAGGAGGCTGTGAAAAGAATTTTCAAGAGAATTATATACCTGTCAAGAATGCGTGTTTACAAAGCGTTAAATAAATTAGGCATTCGGTGGATCTGGGACTCTGCCAAGCCTGTGTGGCTGTTTTTTTTTTTTTTTTTTTTTTTTTTCCCAGAGGTGGTGGGGTTTTTTTTTTTTTTTTTTTTTTTTTTTTCTGGATATTTGAGTAGTGAAACTCCACCTCCTGTTTGTCTCCACCCTTTCTCCACTTAAGGCTCGTTATTCGTTTGTGGCATAAAAAATCAAAAACATTGTGAAACAAGCCTGTCATGAGACCAGTAATCTAATCTTGACTTCCACAGGTAGCAAATATAATTTTCTTTTTTAAAAAAAGTTATTGCTTTTTTGGTTTCATTAGACTCAAATGGCCTGCCTGTGGATGAGTTTTCAAAGGATTGCTCGTTCTCAAAAAGTTCTTAATCCTCCTGCCCGTTGAGTGTTTTTATATTAAGATCGTATGTGCTGTGAGTCCTGTAAGATCTGTTTAAGAGCTACTGCTCTGAAACCTTGGGCTTTCCTGTGACACGTCTAGTGAAGAAGTGCTGAGATTTAATAACTATTTTTGTAGTATATGTAATTTCCTTTATTTCCACCTGCTTTCAGTTTCATAATTGAGGGTCAAGAGCATAGCATGTGAACCTCATGTGATTTTGCGTAAAGTGTTTTAAGAAGAATAGCTGAGAAAGAGAGCAGATTAAAATAGGAAAAAATAACCAAAATAGAAGTTGTGAATAGTGAGTCAACCAAAATGAATCAGAAAAAAAAAATCCAAACAAGATGTATTAATTGGGTTAATGAACACGAAGTATGAATATGTGTGCTTGAGTGCACGGACTGAAGTGATGTGATCGTGGGAATATTTGTTTGCAAGGGTCAAACTAGGAACGAAAACGTTCATGTAGATAACTATAATGCTATAATCACAACTAGAAAATTTAAGGGTTTTTTTGAGAGATTTTTGCTATAGGGCACATGCACTCACCAGAGGGACAGAGAAAGACAGAAGTGAGAAATCACCACCCCCCCCACCCCCCTTGGCCACACTGTAGTCCCTTCTCTTCCATTCTTCTTTTGGGATTTTGGGCATGCATGCACATGTACCTGGCATGATTTTTAAGCCACCGGGTCTGGGACTTGAACTATGGTCAACTACATGGGAGTTCAGAGGTATAACCATTACGTCATCTACTAGTCCCCCAAATTTAAGTTTTTACACCATGTTATCTATTGGCAGGTCCATGTTAAAATACACTCTTTTGTCCCAACAATATCTTTATAGCTTTTTAAAACGCTTTTTTTGTTTGTTTGTTTTTCCTGTGAGAAAGAGAGAGATAGAGAAGTGTACCCCAAACAGGGTCTTCATGCCAAGATTCACTCTTAGCCTCAGCCAGCCTGGACCATGAACATGTAAGTTCTGCCTGGTATGCACAGGGAGGCCCTGGGATGTGAACCAAGGACCTTTCCTGTGTGGGTCCAATTTGAATTACCACTATACCACTGCCTGGTTCCTATCACTTTTTTAAAAATCATGAAATACTTGATAGTATTTTAAATCGTGAGATAGTCATTATAATACAAGGTGAAGTAGTTTATATTTTTTATTAGGAAAGCAATGAAATAAATTAGTTCTTTTTAGGTTTTTGTCATAAGGCATATATATTCGCCAGAGAAGAGAGATTCAGAAAGATACATCTATAGAGAAAGTGAGAAATCTCTCCCAGGGGAGATAGCCAAGCCACACCCTTTTTTCTTCCTTCTGTCCTAGCACACACACATGCCCAGCATGATTTTTCAGGTCATTGGTCCAGGACTTGAACTACGGTCAACCAGGTGGGAGTCCAGTGCCGTAACCACCACACCACCTGCTAGTCCCGTAGGAGAGCAATTTAAAAATGGGTGCTTTCTTTTTTATAAATGGAATTGAAGCTGCTAACTTTGATATTTTGATATTTGTATCAAATTCATACTTAGAATATGCCTCTCTCTCTGTAATTTTGCTATAAGATGCATGTGCTCACTAGAGAGAGGCAGAGAGAGAGAAAGTACCCTCTGGAGGGTAGGCCATACTCCACAATCCCTTCTCTTCCATTTTCCTCTTAGGATTCTGGGTACACACACACATGCTCTGCTTGTTTTTCAAGACACCAGGTCCAGTCAGCCATGTGGGATCCAGTGCCTTAATCACCATGCCACTGGCCGGCTGTGGACTGTGTCCTTTACAACTTATTACTAGACATGGAATAAAAAAAATGGAATCCCATTTCCTCACAGCACATGATTCTTGGCCTAGTTGAAGAAATAAACCAGCTCTCATGATTTCAGACCTGAAAGTAACCCAGGATTGTCCAGAAACGCAGGGTTATGGATGAGAACAAGGAATTTTTGGTGTGATTTCATTGTCCTTTAACTGTAATAGGCTTGCCTTGTATTAAATGCCCAAATGGAAAGAGAGTCCTTGTTTCTTTTTTTTTTTTTAATATTTATTTATTTATTTCCATTTGTTGTTATTATCCTTTTTTTTTTTTTTTTTTTTTTTTATTTTTACCAAGAAGGGGACAGGGGGGGGAAAAGAGAGAGACAGTGAGAGAGAGAAAGGGAAACCGAGAAAGCAAGCCTCCACGTCTGGGACTCGAACCATGGTTGGCCACATGGGTATCCAGCGTTCTTAACCACCATGCCACCTGCCAGCCCCAAGAGAGTCCTTGTTTCTTAACTCTTGTAGCCTTCAACATCTTTGATCACTGAGCTTGTTCCAGTGGGGAAAACAAAGGACAAACTATAGTAGTTTGTAATTGTGACATGTCTTTGGCCAGGTACAGTGTTCATATCACTCTCCCTCCACTTCATCTCTGGTGTCCTCCACACCCTCCTCCTCACCATGGCTGACATCACTAGTCAATTGATCATACCTCTTTCCTGTTTTTATTTATTTATTTATTTTTCAAACCTAATAATAATCATTAATAGCAGTGATTATGTGCTTGTTAGGAGCCAGGCTTCAGTCTAGGTGTTTTTCATGTGTTGACTTATTTGTTCCTCACAACCAGAGTTAGGTTCCATTGTTAATTACTATTGTACAGATGAGGATAGTGAGGCACTCGGTGGTGAAGCAGGTGACCCACGTGGTGTGACTCCTAGAGGGTGGCTGGGTCCATACCTTTAGCTGCCCTCCTTCAAATGACAGGGTGCTGCTGTGTCTTACTGCTGGGAGGTCGTGCGCTGGGAGGTCCTCTTTCAGTCCGGAGAAGAGTTTTGCTTTAGCCTTCTCTTGTCCCTCAGAACTGGCACTGTATGCCCACATGTGGGTGAGCCCTGTGCTTCCCTGCAGGGTGATTTCTGAGCACTGTTTTTCTGCATTCATATTCAATCAGTGTACATGTGTGTAGAGAGTCCATGCATACCTGGTACCATGACAGAGACTAGAGAGAGACGAAATAAACAAGAACAGTTGGGGCCTGGCGCTGTCTGGAGCTTAGCGGTTTGATGCGGAAACAGATGTTAATTCAGTGTTCACCCAAATAAGGGTAAAAGTATCATTGTGGTCAGAGCTGTAGAGCAAGAGGGTGTTAGGGAAGTGTACCAAGGGGGACTTGACTTTGTTGGAGGGAGTTAAAACAAGCTCCTCTGGGTCAGTGAGATTGTAACTGCAATTGGAAAATGTGAGTAGTGATGACTAGTGACAGGTGGGTTTGAATTCCAGTATTTCCCTTGGACAAGTTGATGACCTCATGGTGGTGACCTTGAACAAGTTACTTGATTTCTCTAAACCTTAGTGTCTTCATCTGTAAAATGGGCCATCATGAGAATTAAGTGAGGCAATGCTTTTAACATACTCAGTCATAAGGGGTAGCCACTTTTATTATTGTTCGTGTCTTCTGTTTATTCTACTGGAAACTTGAAAAGATATTTAAATATAGGGACCAGCAGATGGTGTAATAGTTAATGTTGTTGGACTCCCACATAGTCGATCACAGTTTGAGTCTTCGACCTGGTGGCTTAAAACTCACACCGGGTGCATGTGTGTGCGTGCCCAAGAGGAAATGGAGGAAAAGGGATGGTGGCATGGCCACCCCTGCCAGGGGGTGATTTCTCGCTATCTATCTCTGTGTCTCTCTAATGAGCACAAGCTCCCTATAGCCAAAAAATAAAAATAAAATTCTGTGCCACTGTTGTGAAGTCACACAGAGCAAGTCTTTCTTGGGAGCAGTTGTAATACATTTGGAATGTGCTAGAAATTCAAGGCACAAGTGCTATTGGATCACATCTCCTACATTTCCTTCTCTTTTTTAAATTCATGAGCACACATATGTGCATACATGAAAGAGCCAGACAGAGAGCGCCAGGAACCCTCGACAGAGCCTTGTCTCACCACGATCCCCTTTCCCACACCCCTCCATCGTGTCAGAATCGCGGGCATGTGCACGTCTAGCATGTCTCCTTTTTCCTCATTCTTGCCATTTCTGTCCCTCAGTTCCTGTGTTAACAGCTTTGCTATTTTCATTTTCAGGTCAGCTGTTGTTCATTGCCTTCAATTCATTTGGGAACTGCTTCAAATCCATTTGGAAGCAAGGGGAAGGTAAATCATAAATAAATAATACATTCGGAGATGGGCGTAGGCCCTATGGGAGGAGGTGGAAAGATACCTCAGAGGGACCTAAGCCCATAGTAAAGCTTCTACCTCTTAGTGCTATACCACCAGAGCTTCTGTTGGCTGGGACTTAGCTCTCTTCTAAAACATTCAGATTTACTAAGCAGTTCTTATTTTGTTTTTCTTTTAAATCAAATCCCTCTTCAAAAATTAAGTTGCTTTTGACTAGTCAGAATGAAATTAAAATAAAACCCAATGTGCCAGCTTAGGCAGAGAGAAATGTCAGAGTCTACTGGAGAGAAGAAATCAAATGTCTACTTTTCCAGGCCATTTCTTTTCCTAGTATTGGTTTTTCCTGATTTAGCAAAAGAGGGATAAAGATGACTTTCAGGCTCTTGTTTATTTTATATATTCTATACAAGAGGTCTTCCAAAAACTCATGGAAAATGCATTCTTGTAAAAACCATGCATGGATTTCAAAAAAGTTTTTGCACAAAATTAAACGTGTACTTTAATTCCATTTTTCTCAAAAAAAAATTTTTTTTTTTTTTTTTTTTTTGCCATAGGGCAAGTGTGCTTACCTAAGAGAAAAAGAGAGACAGTGAGAGAAAAAAATGAGAAATCACCCCCTAGGGAGATGGCCACGCCACAATCCCTTCTCCATTCTCCTCTAGGGATTTTGGGAACTCACGTATGTGTATGTGGCATGATTTTTTCAAGCTGCTCAGTCCGGGACTTGAACCAAGATTAGCCCTGTGGAAACTCAGTACCTTAACCACCATGCCACCTGCTATCTCAAACTTTTTGAAGTGCCCTTGTATGTATATGTTATTTGTTTTTATATACTTATTTATATTTTTAAATCATAAAAGTAAAATTAAGAGACCAGTGTAATGGCTATGTCACTGGACATGTAGTCAACCACAGTTCGAGTCCTGGACCTGGTGGCTTAAACTCATACCAGGCACGTGTGCATGTATGTCCAAGACCCCAAGAGGAGAAGGGGGGAAGGGATTTGGGCGTGGCCATCTTCCCTGGGGGGGTGATTTCTTGCTTTCTGTTTCTCTGTCTCTCTCTTTCTTTCAAGCGTATGTGTCCTATAGCAAAACTACTCAAAAAAAAAATCATGAAAGTAAAATAAAAAAAACTTCAATAATTCAAGAGCACATATATATATTATTTAAACATATTTTATTATTTATTTTATTTATTATTTAATTATTTATATAAACATTTATATATTAATATTATATTATTTTTTATACATAATTATGTATTATATATGTAATTATTTATATATAAATAAAAAGATATATAAATAAGGTATATTGATATATGTAAACATATATATACACACATACATATACACACACACACACACACACATATATATATATATAAATATGTAATATATAAATAAAAGGAAAGCCTCTCCCCTCTTCCAAATTCTATTTGCTTTGGCATATATTTTTCTGGAATCTTTTATGTATATATTAATATAAGCATATAAATATATGTGCATATTTGTACACACTTAATAAAGCAGTGGGACCAGCAGTTAGCATAATGGCTATGTCACTAGACTCCCATGTAGTTGACCGCGGTTCGAGTCCCGGACCCGGTGGCTTAAAACTCACACCAGGCGTGTGTGTGTGTGTGCCCAGGATCCCGAGAGGAGAATGGAGGAGAAGGGATTGCGACATGGCCATCCCCCTTGGGGGGTGATTTCTCGCTTTCTTTCTCTCTGTCTCTCTCTGTCTGGCGAGCATGCGCGCCCTGTAGCAAAAACCTCTCCAAAAAAAAAGAAAAAAAACAAACAGTCAGTCAGCTCACATTGCATATTGTTCAGCAATTAGCTCTTTCCACTTTGTGTATTGTGGCATCGCCCCATCTTGGCATTTACAGATTTAGCATCTTTATTTAGAGTGACAGAGCATTCTGTGAATGCATCCTACTTCCTTTCTTTAATTTTTACGTATTTATTGAGAGAGTTAAGAGGAAGAAAGGGACCCCCAATAGGGTCTTGCAATGCCATGCTCCTCCCACAGCCCTCCCCAGTCTGCAGGTGCACCCAGCACGTTCAAGCTGACCTAGCATCTGAACCCTGGACCTTCCCATCTGGCTTCAGTATGATGCAATGGCACCCTACCACCTGTGCCATGTCCTACTTTCTTTAATCATTTTCTTGCTACTGGGCATTTGGGTTGCCTCAGCCTCTTCAGTTATAAATGCAGCTCCAGTTTGCAGCCTTACAGCTGGGCTTTGCCCCAGGTGCTATGGTTTCCTGAGTTCCCTTTGTAGAAGCAGGAAT